TCTGTCACAGGAAATAACTCCAGATTCTCAGGTGCTTCAAACAATCAATCCTTTTTGTTCCCCTTTGCTCACATAAAGACCAATGCAGGAGATCCTGGCGGAGCGGCACTTCGGAGTGGCTCTGCTCCAACCAGTGACTCAGAGGCCCACGCTGCTCCTGCCCTGTCATTCTGCCATCGTGGGCTTCAAGGGTGTCCTGGTGTCACCCACCTGGCAGATGTGGAGGAGAAGGACGGGCGGTATTGAGATGGTGAAGGATCAGACACAGAAGCTGAATTCCTTTGTCCCAGAAGTAACCCACTTCATGTCGCACTCCATTTGGTAAAAATGAATCCACACGGTGCTGGAAATGTCACTCATGCCTGGGGAGGTGCTTCCAAGTAATAACTCCACGTTACATAAGAAGTTCCTTCTATATGATCTTCAGCAGGAGACTTCTCCTCTCCACCATACAACTTAAATAAGAAAAGTGTACCTCCTGGGGCCAGCGCTGTAGTGTAGCACATAAAGCCACTACCTGCAGTGCCAGCATCTCGTATGGATGCCAGTTTGAGTCCCAGCTGCTCCACTTCCAATCCAGCTCTCTGCTATGGCCTGGGAAATCAGTGGAGGATGGCCCACATCCTTGGGCCCCTGCACCTGCGTGGGAGACCCGGAGGAAGCTCCTGGCTCCTGGATCGATGCAGCTCCAGCTGTTGCGGCCAACTAGGGAGTGAACCAGCAGATGAAAGACCTCTCTCTCTCTGCCTCTCCTCTCTCTGTGTAACTCTGACTTTCAAATAAATAAATAAATCTTCAAAAGAAAAAAAGAAAAGTGTATCCTCCATAGAAAGAAATCTCAAAGTAAGGGAGCACCAGGGTTAGTTAATTCAGCAGCTTAGAAGTAAATTCAAGGACCCAAAGTGTTTCCATTTGTCCACACTTCCAACGTAGGCCACTACTCCATCATATCCAGACACCATGTCCAGCAGATAAAGAGCTCTCTCTTTTCTGTGTGTCTCCAAGAGGGAAGAAACCTTAGGTTTCTTCTAGGTTTTTTGCTTAATTCTCACTGGACAGAATTTGGTCACCTGTCCACCCTTAAGCCAACAAGGGAACTGGACTTAGCATGAGGAACCAAGACAAGTGGATCTCAGCTCTTGCTGCACATTAGAATCACCTAGGAGAAAATTTTTTAAATTTAAAAATGCAGATGTCCAGGTCCCCACCCCAGTATTACTTGATTGGTCTGAAGGATAGCCAGACTTTAGAAATCAGCAGTTGATAACTTAAGGACCGAATTCCATTGACATTCTTGTTTGACTGATAGAGTGTTTATAAAACTTGAGAACTTAAAGTGATAAAGCAAATAGAGGAAAATTAACAATTGGGGAATCTGGGTAAATAAAAGCTAGGAGATTTTATTCCATCCTTCCAGGTGTTTTTTTTTTTTTTAATGGATTGAAATTTCATCAAAATAGAAACTTACCAAAAATGGAGAGGGGAATGGAAACTTATACAGAAAAGCCAAGGTTTTGGGCATCTCTTGAAAAATCAGGAAACCTGAAGAAACTGGCTCTGTATTCCTGCAAAAAAATTCAAAGCAGCCCAGAGAAGCGGCTTCCAGACTTCTGATCAAGTACTTGTGGGTGAGGGCTTAGCTACCGTAGCGTTAGCGAGAGCTCAGGTGAGTCTGATAATCAAGTAGGTTTGGAATCACCCTCTGGCATACTTTAAATTTTTATTCATTTTCTTCCATCCTGTTCCATCCTCTTCCAAACTCTAAGTATAGCTTGGGTTATTTTTTGCCAAATGCAGCACCTTGCACTTGCCCACACTGAAGCTCCTCCTTGGCAACTCCTCTGCCCACTCACACAGCCTGGTGAGATCTTCCTGTGGCTTATCACCAGCGGCTTGGCATTTCACTACCTGGCACAGTGAAGTGTCATCAGCAAATGAGGAGCCATCGCTGCTTACACCTCCGGCTCAGGCAAATGTCAGATAAGACCTGTCCCAGCTCTGACACCCTGCTGTTGTCAATTAATTAATTAACTAACTCATAACAACCCACCAAGTGTCTGGTTGCAAGCAGAAGGAACCAACTGTGGCTCACGTGAGCAACAGAGGATTCAGTGCAAGTCGGGGCTTCTTAGCAGCAGCAGAACTGACATCTGGGACTCTGTTATTTTTTAAAAGATTTTATTTATTTATTTGAGAGGTAAAATTACAGGCAGTGAGAGAGAAAGACAGAGAGAAAGGTCTTCCTTCCGTTGGTTCGCTCCCCAGATGGCCGCTACGGCCGGAGCTGTGTCGAGCTGAAGCCAGGAGCCAGGTGCTTCTTCCCGGTCTCCCATGCAGGTGCAGGGGCTCAAGGACTTGGGCCATCTTCTACTGCTTTCCCAGGCCATAGCAGAGAGCTGGATTGGAAGAGGGCAGCTGGGACTAGAAGCAGTGCCCTTATGGGATGCTGGCGCCACAGGCAGAGGATTAACGCACTGCGCCACAGAGCCGACCCCTGGGGCTGAATTATGCCTTGTGAAGGTGACATTCTATGCACAGTAGGATGTGCAGTTTCCTTGGCTTCTGCCATCAAATACCAATACCGCAACTCCTCTCCCCTACTAAGACCTAAAACTAAATCTATCTCCAGACATTGTCAAAGGTTTCCTGAGTGGGAGAAGCAAAAGTCCCTCCCGGTTGTCCACCTCAAGCTGAGATAGTTGAGGAACTAAGCTGTAGGAAAGATGGCAATCGGAGTCATCCCAGGGTTCTAGAGAGCAGAACCAATAGATGATTGAGTTTGAATTCTGGCTCTGTTGTACAGATACAGGATCCAATCAGGGATGAGAAAATGAGGCAGAGGAGATATGTCACCACATCCTCCCCCAGGGCTTCCTCTAAAACTCCGCCCAGGGAGTTTCAGCCTGGAATCACTATTGTAGCAAAGTGGCCATCCAGACTCAGTGTCAGCTGAAATATCCAACATGGCTGCTGAATGGATCCCCAAGATGGCCTGTAGCCCATTACAATATCATTGTAGGGTTATCATGGCTGACACTCCTACTCCCATAATGCACCTGATGCCATGAAACTCCTGAGGCTTCCTTAAAAGGCCAGGAAGGGTATGTATGTATGTATTCCAAAGGCAGAGTGACCAGAGAGGAGACACATTGGTTGGTTCACTGTTGGTTCACTCCCTAGATGCTCACAACAGCCAGGGCTGGGCCAGCTCTCAGACAGGAGCTAGAAACTCCATCCAGCTATCCCACAAGGGTGGCAGGGCCCTAAGCATTTGGAACATCATCTGCTGCCTTCTCGTGTGCATTGGAAGTAGAGCAGCTGGAACTCGAACCCACACTCCAATATGGCATGCTGGCATCACAGGCAGTGAGTTAACCTGCTAGTCCAAAACACCAGCCCCTCTGCCAGCTTTTATCTACCTCTCATCCTTGAATGATTTTGTGCATTAGAGACAAGAACCTGGACCTCGCAGCTACCCAACAGCTGCAGCCTTTATTAGTTGTGTGACTTGACAAATGACTTCCTTTTTCTGTGCCTCAGTTTCCCTATCAATAAAAGGAAATAACATATAACCCTCTGAAATCATCAGCCTAAAACACAAGCTATGCCTCCCATATGGCCAGCGGGGGCTCCGTCCGTCTTGCTCACTACAGAAGACCAAAGCTGATAGAGGCTCCACCATCCAAGCATTGCTGGTCAGAATGACAGGGAGTGCTCCAGGGGCAATGCCTGCATTTCTAGCCCACCCTCACACTAGTTCTCCTTGACGACAGGGGGTTCTAACAACACGAGTTCCTCCCAAGCCAACTGATGGAGCTCGGAGAGATCCAAGATGGCTGCCAATGTGCCCTCGCACATCCTGAAGACTCATTCTAATCTCAGTCCCACACTAACACTCACAGTTGACAATCATCACAACAGAAGAGACCATGAAAGGACAAAAAAAAGGCGGCTCCCTTATTCCCAGAAAACCAATTTAGTATCATCCTCCTCCCCTTTATTCCTGTCATCCTACTTTCTCTATGACCCCTCAGTCCCTCAGTTTCACAAAACCAAATGAAGGACTTGATTTTTAGGGTCCCTTGTGCCCACAAGAAAACAGTTAACAGAAAGAAAAAAAGAAAAAACTAGTCATTAAATGTTGACATCTGCTCATAACTCATTGACCAAAACAAGTCATGGAGTTGGAGCCTGCCCTGTGGCACAGTGGGTTAAACTACAACGAGGGACACAAGCACTCCATCCGGGCGCCAGTTTGAGTCCCAGCTACTGGGCTTCTGATCCAGCTCCTTGACAATGCTCCTGGGAAAGCAGTGGAAGATGGCTCAAGTCCTTGGGCCCCTACCACCCATGTGGGAGACCTGGATGGAGTTCCAAGCTCCTGGCTTCTACTTGGCGCAGCCCCAGGCATTGCAGCCATTTGGGGAGTGAACCAGTGGATGGAAGATCTCTCTGTGTCTCTGTGTGTGTGTGTGTGTGTGTGTGTGTCACTCTGCCTTTCAAATAAATAAATACATCTTTAAAGGGGGGGGGGGCGAGGTCATGTGGCTGTACCAAGTGAGAAGGACACTACAAAATAAAAACCTGCACCTGTCTGGAAAAGGGAGAAGAGGAAACACGGACTAAGAAGCAGCCCTCACATCTAACACAGGTAAGAACACCACCTTCAGATGTTCGTTTGGGTCAGTAAATGAATGAACACATACAAAGTTCTTAGGACTGCATCTGGCATTTAGCTTAATGTTATTAAGTCAGCAAGCATTTACTGCATACTAAAATGGTCAGTTTTATTTGGCAACCTGGCCAACCCCAGTAACCAGCTATTCAGAAGGATTTAATCTAGGGACAGCGGTGAGGGACTCTTGCTGATGCCATCAACACCTCAAGTTGAGTCTAACAAAGGGGACTGTGCACAACAATCTGGGTGGGTGGGTGGGGGCTTTGTGCCATCAGTGAAAGGCCTTAAGAGCCAAACTGAGGCTTCCCTGTGGACAGCGGCGTCCATTCCTGCACCAAGAGCGTCTAGCCTGTCTTTCCTACCAGCCTCCCCTGCAGAGTTCAGATCTCAGACCGCCACATACACCGGTTCTTCATGGTAAATCTCTTTACCGCCTTAATCCTCGACATCCTTTTCCCCCACTCTGCCTGTTCTACTCTTCCCCCAGCACTTTGCTAAAAGCCGTGAATCCTGGATCTTATTCCTCACTTCCGGTGTTGGCGCCTCTCTGATTCCTGGTCCTCTGGTCTGGTCCTGACCACGCCCCCCGCACCCAGGTTCCCGGTTTGACTCCTTCCTTCGCCTCCTATTGCTCACCTCCTTACAGGTCAAATCGCTTCTTATCCCAGGCAGAGTGTCCCAAGGCTACGGGACTAGGAGAACAGAGAGGGAGCTCTGCGGCCACGCCCACCTGGCCACGGGAGGCTCTGCCCCTACCCCTCCAGCCCACCCTCCCTGTCCGCAGGACAGACCCAGCTGGAGCCCCGCCCTGGGATTTCAAGCAAGCTGTCTTTCAGGCTTCTGTTTACTCAGCTGCTGAAGGGGATCAGAGCATGGCACCCTGAAATCTGCTGCTTTGGCAGCAAAACTCCGCGGAGCTGAAGGCAATTAAGAAGTAGCAGATGCGAGAAAAGCTGCTACCTCCTCCTTTCAACCTCAAGGTAGGGTGTGCGTGTCCCTGTGTGACGGCGTCTTTCCCCAATCCCCGTACCAGGAAGAAGAGATGAACTGGAGAGGGTCCCACTTGGAGCAGCAGAAGCGGATCTTATTAAAATAGCCCTGGTCTTCCATTAGTATTCCCTGTATATCTATAGTCCTACCTTCCCGCCATTTGCCACCCCTACCCAGAAGCCCAGATCACTTTCCCTTGTCTTGTCACTCCTCCACGAATTTGTTGCTCTTTGTTAAAAATGGTGTCTAAAGTCTCTTGGCTGTAGATGTTAGAGACTCTCGGATCCTAACCGCCCCCGAGTCTCCTAGCCTCCTCCCTTAGCCTCAAGTTTCCATGTCCTTCCTTTATGACTGCAAATCAATCTCTTATTACAATTAATTTGCTGCATGGAGGGAGCAGAACAGCCGACCCTACAAGATCCCTAAACGCAAGACCCATGAGGTCATTTATCTCCCTTACAGACAACACCTTGATGTCTGGTCTGGTCTTGAAGGTTCCCAACACTCAGGAACCCCAGGCCCTGAGCAAGAAGAAGTAACTGCCCCCTGTTGACTGGAGACCACTTTGCCATCAGCAACATTTCCAAAGCAACCCCATATCATGGGCCAATCAAAGGGCAGAGCAACCCGGGACCTGCACAGGAGCTGAGCAGGCTACCTCTCAACCCCAACTTCCGTCTGTGGGAACCTCCACCCCCATCTCCTTGGGGAGCTTGGGAATTGAGCAACTCTGCCTGGCTCCTTGCTCTGCACTCCTAAGTAAATGCCTACTTCTCCCAGCACCCTGATGCCCGTGATTGCATGCTGTGTTTGAGGTGAGAAGACTTAGAGGTGGGGGAGTTCTACATCACTCTCAGGCCTCACTCCTCTGCATTTTCCACTTCTGTTGTGGGAAGCAGTCATCTGGGGTTGGCTTGTGGTGGAGGAATTCTCCAGAGCAGTCGGAGACAGTGAACAGAGTTGGATTTATTGAACACACTGCAAGGCAGCAGCGTGACAGGCAAAACAGTTAGCTACTGACAGCTGCTGCCATTCACTGCAAGCGAGCAGCAGGCAGGACAGCCAGAGGCTGTCTGCTGTACCACACGCTACAGGGCAGGAGGCATCCTGTAACCGCAGTCTCTTCTCAGTCAGAGTGAGCATTCCTCCCCATGATCCAGCTTTTCCTTGGTAGGTGATTTGCATTTTGGGGTGGAGCCGGGGAGTCTGCACCACCCTTAGTTTTGGGACTTGCCCAGTGCTCTTCTTGCCCCATGACTTCCCTTTCTGTGACATCCATATAGTACATGCCAAAAATTTAATTATTAATATCAGTGGGCCAGCATCGTGGTGTAACAGGTTAATGCCATTGCCTGCAATAATGTTACTGGAGAAATGGCAGGGTTCTTGTCTTCGCACAAGAAAGAATTCAGGTGTGAGACAGAGTAGTGGAAAGTAAAAAGTAGCAAAGTTTATTAGGGTAGGGACATCCGCAAGAACGGATGGGCACCTCTCCAGACAGGACCTGAGAGAGAGTGCCCAGCTGCTTGGATGGGGGGGCGGGGGGAGAGCAAGGTTACATGGCTGAGTGGAGAGATTACACCTGGGCAGGCCAGGCGGGCGGCTCAGAAGAGAGGCAGAGGGCTGAGTGTGCCTTCCGGTTGAGGCCGGGGGTTTTTAAGGAGATGGGTCTTTGTCGTCACACATCTCCTGAAACAAAGGATTTTATGGATGTAAATATTAAGAAGCTCCTATCTGAGTTTTCCCCTGAAGGTATCAGACAGGGGGAAGCCTAGCTGGTGCCATCCTGGGTACAGAGGAAGGGTGAGCAAGACCCCCTAGAGAATCAGGATCCGGAGCAGGGTGTTTGACATGCAGATACTGGGCTGCATCTGGGAGATTGTGGAAGATTTGTCAGGCAGAAGGGACGGGGACCCCCATCTGGTAGGTTATCAGGTAGAAGGGGCAGGGCAGGATGCGGAACACTGGGCTGCCCTGAAACGGATGACTTTGAGATGCAGGTGCATATGCTGGACATAGATGTCTTTTCTTTAGGCCTTTATGTCACATCTGACTTCCTACCTACCAAATATAGGCACTGGTTTGAGACCAGGTTGCTCCACTTCCAATCCAGCTCCCTGCTGATGTGTCTGAGAAAGCAGTGGAGGTTGGCCCAGGCCGACTAGGAGGATGACCCCTGCCCCCACGTGAGAGACCTGAAGGAAGCTCCTGGCTCCTGGCATAGGCCTGACCCAGTCCTGGCCTTTGTAGCCATTTGGGGGGTGAACCAGAGAATGGAAGATCTCTCGCTGTCTCTCCCTCTCTGTAGCTCTGCCTTTCAAATAAATAAAAAAAATAGATCTTTAAAAAAATTAATATAAAATAAAATTTTTGTATGCCTTTTCTTTTGTTAATCTCTTTTGTTGGTTTAATTGCAGGACCTCAGGTATTAAACATAAATGCTTAAAGGGAATATTTTTACCTCCTCTATGCTGCAAAAACAGGTATGACAATAAGATCCACCTCACTAGATGCAGTGAGGATTAACCAAAAAATGCCTGGGTGGTACCTACCACATGACTGGCTCATAACCCTTAATAAATGAGAATTTGTGGGGCTGGCACCATGGTATAGTAGGTTAAGTATCTGCCTGTGACACCGGCATCCCAAATGGGCACTGGTTCAAGTCCCAGCTGCTCCATTTCTGATCCAGCTGCCTGCTGATGGCCTGGGAAAGCAGTAGAAAATGGCCCAAATACTTGGACCCCTGCCACCCATGTGGGAGATCTGGAAGAAACTCCTGGCTCCTGGCTTTAGCCTGACCCAGCCCCAGCCATTGTGGCCGTCTGGGAAGTGAACCAGTGGATGGAAGACTTCTCTCTCTGTCTGCAACTCTACCTCTAAAGTAAATAAATAAATTTTAAATAAAAGGATCAGGAGGCCTCTGGGGCTCCTCATTAAAAAATAAATAAATAAATAAAATGAGAATTTGTTAGCCAGTTACACATCCTACCCGCCCCCAGCCCCAGGGTCCTAGCTCTTAAGGTTCTAGATGAATTTAGAGAGTGAACTGGAAAGGGAGATAGCTAGGCCTCGTGAGCTGGAATTCTTGCCAGCCCTGCAATGTAAACTTATCCCTTTACTTGTGAGTCTAAAACACCAGTTGTCGCAAGATGCACCTGTGTCCCACCTGGGACCAGGGAGGAGGAGACATCATGGTGACCACACGGATGTTAAACTCCATGTGGAAGCTCCATAAAAATACCAGATGTCTTCCTGCATGCTGAGGCCCCACCGACTTGTTTATTCAATCTCTACCTCCTAAAAGAGGCTGAGAAGGGAGAGACCTCTCTTTTTGCCTCTAATCGCCATTGGGATTAATATTCAGCCTCTCTCTCTCTCTCTCTCTCTCTCTCTCTCTCTCTCTCTCTCTCTCAGCAATCCTCTGGCATAGTCATGATGGGTATCTCTCCATGTAAGCATGAATGTATGCTCACTCTCTCACCTTTTAAGTAAATCCAGTTCCCACCTGTTCATCTTACATACAGCTCCACTTAGCATTCTGATCTCTGTGGGGAGCAAGAACCCGGCTTGAAAATTAAGACACCAGGGCCCACATCAGTAGAACCACTTTGTCACAGGAACTTCCACTGACTTTATCAACCACAGAGAAGCAGGCAATCCCCACTCCAACCATATCCCAGGAAAAGGAACTTCCATGAGAACTGTTTAAAAAAAAAATCCTACAATATTTCCTTTGAACCCACCCTCCCATCAGGAAGCCGGGGAAGCCAGCTGTTGCTCCCCTATTCTGATCAGCTCTTTGGCACCCCAGGATCAATACCCACCCCCCCCCAGATGTGGGGGAGTCCCACGAAGTCTTGTGCCTTTGAAGTGTCTCAACTCTTCTCCACTTTACATATCAAGAGGGAAAAGGTCCGTAAATCACTATTGGCAAGAAAGAGAGAGGAAATAGCAGAGGTTGAGTATCCTAAAGCAATTAGTTGGGACAAGAGGAAGAATAAAAAGAAAGACATTATGCAAATGCAGGGGTCATTCCACCTTGAGAAGATAATGTCCTCTTTGAACACAAGGGAAGGAGTTTAAAGTAGCCCAGTTCATTCCAATTCTGTTTGAATCTTAAGCTTCCTCATGATTAATGTTAAGCCGGGATAGCATCAGGCCTCTAAAACATTAACACTTTCCTATTCCGGTATTAAGTGTGTTCACTTTTAAACATCTCACAGCAGTGGATGGGAGTAAGTACAGTCATAAACCGTACATTTCTCCAGAATAACTTACACCTGGCTGGGGTCGAAATCTATCTCCCGGGTGTGGTTTTGTTTTGTTTTGGTTTGTTTTTTTTTTTTTTTTTTTTGCAGGTTTCCCCTGTTTATCTGGTTTTTTTTTTTGGGTGGGGGGTGGTCTACTTAATGGCAGGTGGTCAGTTCTCAGAGAGGCAAGTAGCATCTGAGTCCAGCAACCCTGGGGGAAGGCAGGCCGCAGCTGGATGGGAGCCATACCCCTCTTCCCTTGGCTTCCCGTACAGCTGGAACTCAAGTCCTTGTGTCCCCATAGGAAAAAAAATGCTGGGGCCAACCCTGTGGCATAGGGGGCTAAGCCTCTGTCTGCAGCATCAGCATCCCAAATGGGCACTAGTTCTAGTCCTGGCTGCTCCACTTCCGATCCAGCTCTCTACTATGGCCTGGGAAAGCAGTACAGATGGCCCAAGTGCTTGGGCCTCTGCACCCACATGGGAGGCTAGGAAGAAGCTCCGGGCTCCTGGCTTTGGATCCACCCAGCTCTGGCCATTGTGGCCATTTGGAGAGTGAACCGGTGGATGGAAGATCTTTCTCTCTGTCTCTCCCTCTCACTGTCTGTAACTCTACCTCTCAAATAAATAAATAAAATCTTTAAAAAAAAAAAAAAGGAAGGAAGGAAGGAAGGAAGGGAGAGAGAGAGGAAGAAATGCCATCGAGTCACAGATTGGCAATGAGCAAGCTAGCGAGGTCCCTGGGCACCATGCCAGGAAGATGCCCCTGCGATGTCCCCAGCAAGGTGGGACTCCCCTCCTTTGGAGTGGTGTTGGACAGGAAGATTCCTGGGCTTCCAATCGCCCCGACAGTGTGGTCAGGTGGGACTTCTGATGTGCCAATGTCAGTTGGCTGCCTGGCTTGCTTCTAAGACGTCTAGATCCCTTCCCTCATTAAACAAACTTCCCACATTTCTCTTTTTCTCTACACACACACACACACACACACACAGACACGCCCACAATCTGTCTCTCTGCTTGATGCTTATACCCCTGATCCATGGGGCTGGGAATCTTCTTTCTCACCACCAGGAAAAAGAGATCCAAGCTCACCCTTCTCCCCTAGCAGGAGACAGCAGAGGATCATAGACCCGTGGGAAGTGAATTTTTAGCAGGCTGGGTGGCTGGAGCTTGTGGGAAAGTGTTATGGAACCCCCCTAAAACTTGAGCCCACTTAGCCAACATGCAGCCGCCAGTCACTGAAACGGGGTCATTGAAGAAAGGGAGATTTACTGCACAGCACAGAGCTGGCAGCTGGCACTTCACTTCTAGGCTCCCCACAGAGTTAGGAGCATCGGTTATTATAGATTGAAATTGGAGTTGAGATGTCTGTGCTTGGCCCATGTGCAAGTTCCAGATGGGTCTGCTGTACTTGTAGCCCTCCTTCGATCCATTGGCCAGGGATCCCATGTTCCCTTGGGAATCTTGATGGTGGCAGAGTGAGCGTCCATCAGCCACGTTGTCATTATGTCTTGTTCCGGGCCTGGAGTGCCTGTAAAATGCCTGAAAAAATTCCTCAAGACAAGACCGGACACCTTAGAATTGTATCTCTCGGGGCTGGCACTTTAGCGTAGCTGGTAATGCTACCACCTACCACAATGGCATCCCATATGGGCCAGTTCCTATCCCAGCTGCTCCACTTCTGATCCAGCTCCCTGCCAATGGTCTGAGAAAAGCAGCAGAAGATGGCCCAAGTGCTTGGGCCCCTCACCCACATGGGAGAACCCAGAAGAAGCTTCTGACTTCTGGCTTCGACCTGGCTCTGTCCTGGCCATTGTGGCCACTTGAGAAGTGGACCAGTGGGTGGAAGATTCTCTCTGTATCTCCCTTTCTCTGTAACTCTGATTTCCAAATAAATAAATCTTTAAAAAAAAATTGTGTCTATGAAATACATGAAATCTGTTCTCTCTCTCTCTCTCTCTCTTTTTTTTTTTTTTTTTTTTGACAGGCAAAGTGGACAGTGAGAGAGAGAGACAGAGAGAAAGGTCTTCCTTCCATTGGTTCACTCCTCAAATGCCCGCAATGGCCGGAACTACGCTGATCCGAAGCCAGGAGCCAGGTGCTTCCTCCCAGTCTCCCATGTGGGTGCAGGAGCCAAGAACTTGGGCCATCCTCCACTGCCCTCCCTGGCCACAGCAGAGAGCTGGACTGGAAGAGGAGCAACCTGGACTAGAACCAGCATCCATATGGGATGCCAAGATGTTACCTATAGGGAATGACCACTCCCTCAAAGTAGTGAACGCATCGTAGTAAAAGGTTGACTGGCAAAGAAGATTTAAGCTAAGGGAAGGAGATCAAGAGACTAAGGAAAACTAGAAAGCACTAATATTTCGGGGCTTGGGTACAAAAGGGATAGTGGTTTTGAGAAAGGACATTTGGGGATGTTGGCAGCCTTCAGAGTTGGGAGGAAAGTACAGAGAGCTCTAGGCGTCAAATGGCTTTGGGCCTCTGCTGGTCCACCGGGCAGCAGTCAGCACTGCCCACCCCGATGCTGCACACTGCTTCTGTTTAGAGCAGCAGTGCTCAGAAGAGCCTTCCCCTTGAAACGGGCCCTCACCTCAAGCCTTTGATGTAGCCCTCATCCCGCCCCAGTTTCTCTCCCGCAGCTTGCAGTTCCTCCATCTTCCTTTTGATTTCTGTGAACCCGAGACCCCATACAGTGTCCTGCATGTAGATGCTGAATGCTATCAGGTCCCCCCGGGGTATCCCAGCCTCCCCTACCTTGGCTGAACTCACTGAATTGGGGGAGAGGCACAGTCAGCCCTACAAGGCTCTGGGCACCAGACTCATAAGGTCATTTGCTTCCCCAACAAGATAAACCACCTTGATGGCCAGTATTGTCTCTAGAGGTTTTGTTTAGGAGGAATCCCATGTCCAAAGCAGGAAGGAACTACCAGGCTGACTGAAGCCTGCTTGGCCATCACACCAACCAGGTGACGCTGGGCGGACTGTTCACGTACAGCATCTTGTTGATGCTTCAGGGATGGACGGCGGCTTCCTGCTTACCCGGGTCCTCAGAAACACAGTACA